TCCTATGCTGGTTGATTAATTGCTTGTTTCTTTCGTCCGATTGGTTGATTTGTTCTTTCGTTTCGCTTGGTTGGTTTTTTCTTTCCTTTTCGCTTGGTTGGTTTATTTGCTTTTTTCTTTCGTATGGTTGGTTGATGTGCTCTTTCCTTTCGTCCCTTTGGTTGATTTGTAGTTGCACTAAACTTGGAACATAAGAAGAAGACACAAGTTCGCTATAATACCAGCTATCCAGAACTCCTAGAATGTATGTAAGAATATTTATATTCTTATGTGACCTATGTGTCTTTCTATTTAATTATTAAAGATCAAGTTCATATTAAAGTTAAGGATTCTAATATAAAAGACGATACCATGATGGATTGGTTTCGATTAAAGACATTAGAATTCGGGTGTATTGATAACCCTCCTCCCTTACCTTATTATATAGTAAAGACCTTTCTCTAATGTTTGTATATATATGTATATTGCATCGTAGTTAATAAAGTAATAATTATAACTACATATGGGTGATACTTTATATACAATATATATCCATAAGTGCTGATTACAGAAAAGGTGGTTACGTGGGTTTTGTGATGAACCATCACAACTTATCAAAATGTATAAAACCCACAGAAAGRAAACCTTAAAAGKACAYGTTCTATTTTCTGTAAAAGAATAGAACAACGATCAAACAAACAAATAGAGAAGGGAGTTGATTCCTTCTCCATCAAAAAAGGATCGTGATAGTGAAAGGTCAAAGGGAGGAAGAAATCAATTGGTGAATTGATTCCATTTCAAACCAATCAAGCAATGGATCAAGGTTAGTCTTTCTTCTTCTCCAAGAAAGTGTTTATGGTTGAATTAAATTGAATCTAGATGATCTTGGAATAGATTTCATGATTGAAATCATTAAGAAAACATATTTACAGTTGATAGATTTGAAGTATCCATCTTCTCCAATAATGTGAGCCATTTGTTTGAGACATGTCTCTCTCGGATAATATCTTTCTAATTCCAAAAACACGACTTTCTTCTCTTCGTCAATGAAGAAACTCGTAGTTCGAGAGTCAATCCGAAAACCATCCGGTAAACCATTGATTAGTCTTATATCTAGTGTCATATACTTGATCCAAGATATCGCATTGGGTTCAATCTTAGTCGTAATCCAAATCTCGGTTATATCAAACGTGAAGTCGTGGCTAAATGACATAGCGAGCTTCTCATCTCTAACCCAAGTTAGAATCCAACAATCGGAATCACGAGGGTAAGGTTGAATGGGCAAAGGCAGATGCGGTCCAAATTTCTCTATAGTAAAATCAAAACATATTAAATAATTTTTAACATTTGGTACCTCTTCTTGGTCCATTGTTGTGACCAATTGTTGAAAAGAAGAACCGAAAAAGTAGGTATTTCCCTTAAGAGATACACCGTCCCAATAACACGCTCCGTGCCAGTCGGGATTAATATCAAGAAGCCTCCATGAATTAGAACTAGAATCGTAGATATCAAAGATGTTTTTCTTGTTGCTTTCACTATAATCAAACAAAACCCACAAAATTTTAAAGTTATCGTTATTCTTGTCGTATCCGAGAGCATACTTGTGTCCTCCGGTTTTTCTCGGTTCAATCAATCTGGTTTGCCCCAAATACGGATTCCATACAAGGAGCCTCAGGTACAATAAGCCGGTGCAGTGAAAGCAAAACAATAAGTCGTTGCAGTGAAAGACGCGATGCATCTCGTCTTGATTATTAGGTATATTTAATACCCATAGATAAATCAACCAAGTCGTCTTCTTTTTCGTTGTTGCGGATTTGTTGGAGATCGACTCTCAATGAAAAAACCCTATTATGTATAGTCATGAACTCCATAAACTGATTCTTCCTTGCTTTTTGACCTAAGATGTGACTTTTCGATAAATCGTTCCACGTTTTACAAGTAGATCGCACTGTGGTTAGACATGTCAATGGAACCCTAGAGAAGATCTCCCCAACCAAATCACCTTGAAGATCAGAAATTGTCATCATTGATCTTCTTACAAAGTTTCAAACAAGAGTCTAACTCTTTTGTCTCCGTACGTACGTAGATATATGGACACCGACAAGCCGACTCTGCTTTTCTCTTTATTTTCTGTGTCAATGTCGAAGCCCTAATTGCATATGTAATCCCTTAGTTAGAGGGTTGTTGTACATATCTTGTGTGGTTGGGCTTTTATTTAACCTTTGCTTTAGCCCAAATGGCTTATTGCATTGAGTCTATACAAACAAACCATATTAAATCCATCTTTATGATCTCACAACTACAAAACAATCTTCAAGCCCAACAAAACAATTTCAATTTATAAAGGCACAAACAAACAAAAAAATAATTAAAAATACAAAAAAACTCAAATCAGAAAACAAAGAATAGACCAAAAACACAGCTTAGCTTCTAAACTTACATATGAGAACAGAGCAAGGTCACTTCAAGCTCCTTGTTACCGTCTTTGTCCTCTTGCCACTACCACTTTGGACAAAACCTCTTCAAGATACTTACAACGTTCTCTATGATGCTCGATCCATACACATAACTGTCTTATTG